TAACAGTTCTGGTTTTCATTCCATTCCTTGTACTTTGTGTTTTCCTTTCACTTTACACTTTCCTTTCACTTTCTACAAATACAATAGTTTGTCTGGACTCTTGAGTGTTTCTTCTACACTCTTAGATTGATAGTTCTGATCTCTATTGTCTGTAGGTACTGTAGTATGTCTGGCTTTTGTTCTGTAGCCTGCCTAAAGTGTTTCACACTTTTCTGTTACTATACTATTGAGTCTACTCTTGTTTGATGAAGGAGTTGCTTTCTCCTCTTCCTAATACATTCTATCAAACTTGTACATTCTCTTATTCAAATTGTTGATGTCTATCAAACTGTGGAATAGGCTAACATGTTCTATGTTTATCTCAATTGCTCTGGCTCTTACAATGTGTCTGAAGGTCTTACTTGCCTTCTGGAAATCTTGTTCCTTATTAGATCTCTGTAATTCTAATGCTTGGCTCTCCTAGCCTTGTCTGTTACTCTTGTTCTTCAAGTCCTGGCTGCTTTCTTCACTACTGAAAAGGGTCTTAGGTGTCTTACTACCCTCTACATTACTGTTGTCAATGTGTTTCTGTTCTAAAGTAAGTGTGCTTACTGGATACTTATTCATGCTCTCACTGATACTGACTATATACACTATGTAACTCTTGTACTAGCTTGCAAATTCCTCAATGCTCACTGTTAGCTCTCTATATCAACTTAGTGAATCCTCAAACCAAATCACCTGTCCTCTATCAAGTGAATCCTCAAACTTGGTAGTCTGAAATTGATCAAGCAAATCCTCAAGCTTAATTGTCTGTACTTGGTGAGTTGAATCCTCAAACTCAACCTTTTGTACTTGATTAGACAAATCCTTGAATCCAATTGCCTGTTCATTCTAAACTTGACTGTCTGAATCCTTAAGAACAATTGCCTGAGCATTTCTACTCTCTGTACCTTTGTTTGCTATTTCTTTAAGCCTAGTAGTATTAATACTTGCTAGTATCTACTCTATAGTACACATTTGACTAACTATATGTGCTGGTACAATTACATACCTTAGTTCTACATTATTAGTATGTAGTAGTTCATTAGGGTGCCTTCAGCCTTGTGTAGACAAGGACTTATTACCTAGTATAGGTTCATTAGGTTGCCTTCAGTCTACAAGAGACAAGGACTTACATTCTAGCATGTTAGTATTAATATCTGGACTTGGGTACCCTCTGGGAATTGTTAGTCAGGGCTTGGCAGCCACATTGTAATCAATAACTAATGGATAATCTTGTTGTCCATTATCTGTAAACTCAATACACACTTGTTCATTCCTTTTTGCCTTTATGAATGCCTAGTCCTCAACCTATCTGATTAATACAAACCTCTAGTATATCTAGTGCTAGTCTATATTAATATGTACTAATGTGTTCTAGAAGCATTCCACAGTATTCCAAAGCATTGTGAACCTACTAGGGGCCAATCTAGTAAGTAGTCTCTGTTTCTACTCAAAAATTGTAACTTTACTCACTAAAAATTCCTGATAGGTACTAGATGACAAGGGAGACCTAGGGTTGATCAGACCCTTTGGTTCCTCAGTGTCTAGCAAGGGGTTTCAGTGCTAGGTGGGTACAGTCAAAAATATGTAAGGAAACTTACTGTTCCTCACAAGAGAATTCTAATCACCCTTAGTTTACTCAACTACTAACTAGGATAACCTAGTACTTGAGTAAGGGGTCAGGGGAAAAGAATTTTCTTTACCTAGTAATCAATACTGTCTTTTATAGGGTAGTACATGTGTAGATACATGAGGAGGAAGTGTAACTAACTACAATAAGAATATATGTACTTGTGGGTCCTACTGTACAATGATCTGACACAATCAGTAATGTAGTAGTAATAAAATACAAACTAGTAAATCAAATCCTTACACTAGGTCTGCTCACAACTACTAATCTAGTAGGACAGTAGGGGTGACAGTCAGTGTAAGAGGGTCTATGTTTACACTACAAAGGAATTGGCACTAAACTAAAAGGGGTAATGAATAGAAGAAGGGTGGCAAAAGTTTAAAAGGGTTTAGAAAGTTTAAAATTTAAAAATGTAAAAGGGTCAGGACAAAGAAAAGAGATTAACACAATAGTGAGTACTAATGCCTAAAATGTAGAAAAGTTATAGAGTAGTAATGAGTAGTCTTAATCTGATGTCAGTAACAGTATAGAGGGGACCTAAAGGCTTAGTAAGGAGACCCAGGCTACAACTATCCTATACAACAGAAATATGGAACACAAACACTAGAACATAGTCAGAACTTGTAGAACAGACAGAGAGAGAGAGTGAGACAAGAGTAGAGTATATAGAGTGAGCCTAAGAGTACAGGACTATCTAGAGTAGACAAGATCAAGACTACAGGACCAGTCTGATCTCATACACCTATATATACTAAACTACACAAGAGTACTCAGAGAGTATGAGCCACTAAGAATGATAAGCTACAAAGAATGAAAAAAAGGAAGGTCAAAGATAAAGGTACAAAGAATGAAGGGATAGACAAAGGGTAAGAGACTATAGAATGAACAAAGAATGAAGGGGTGGTCAAAGGAATAGAATGATAAAGTAAGGAGGGGTAGTAGTAAGAGTCAGTACACATATAGTCTATAGACAGTACTCCTAAGGGACAGAAGTCCTGAGTTCTGGTACAGAAGAGTGTAGAACCCTTAGAACTGAAAGTACAAGAGTAGAGAACTGTAACATTACCCTTTGTCTATCCCTTCATTCTTTGTACCTTTATCTTTGACCTTCCTTTCTTTCATTCTTTATGGCTCATCATTCTTAGTAGCTCACTATTCTCTGAGTACTCTTGTATAGTTTAGTATATATAAGTATACAAGATTAGACTAGTCCTGTAGTCTTAATCTTGTCTACTCTAGATAGTCCTATACTCTTAGACTTACTCTATATACTCTACTCTTGTCTTACTCTCTCTCTCTGTCAGTTTTACAAGTTCTGACTACATTCTAGTACTTACATTCTGTATTTCTGTTGTGTAGAATAGCTGTAGCCTGAGTCTCCTTACTAAGCCTTTAGGTCCCCTCTATACTGTTGCTGACAGATAACCTATCTGTAGTTGTAGATTATAGTTTTTAGTAACAGTTTCTATTACAGCTACAATGTAAACAATTGATTATTGTAAGTATATTATGTAATACATATCAAATTGGACTCAGATTATTATTATTACATTACACCTTTGTACAGAGTCTGACAAGACAATATATGTACATGTAGGCTTTATAATCAAATATAACAACTTACAATATGTAAAAATATGTGTCTTAGTAATAAATTCCAATCCATTTTTGTGTTTGTTTTGGTAATAAAGTAAAACATATTATTAAGGTACTTACAAGGTTTCACAAGTCATTTGTATAATAACTTCTATTACTGTCACCTATTTGCTCTACAAACAGTTATATTAATTAAGCTGATACATTATTCTTCTCAGACTCCTTGTATAAAAGTCAATTCAAAGAGCTTTACATTTCTTAATAATACTATTTAGATATAATAATGTAATAGAAAATTGTGGAAGGCATAGAAGTAGGGCCTGTGTATACAAGTATCCCTGTGTTTTAGTGCAAATGTTAAGAAACCATAGGATAACCTCTATGGTTTATTTCTCGTTGCCAATTTCTATTCAGTTAATACAATGTTCTAAGCAGACTGATATTAATCAATAATTATATTGATTGAATATGTGAATGTGTCCGTACTTATCAACTTGCACATTGCCATGTCTCTGAAATGTGAAGATAACTTAGACAAACAAATGTGCATGAGAGGGCGCTAGTCTGTGTCAGGGAAGCGTTTAAATACTTAAATACTCCGAGTTGTTGAGCCTGACTTAGGAGACGCGTTAGGAGTTGTCGAACCACAAGGATTGCAGCATTGTACCAATAGCCTTCAGCCAATGAGACAGACAAAGGAAATTAACTCGTGGTCGAGCCTTCCTTCCACCAGGGTCCCATAGGCGAAATTGAACAAAGAGGAGAAGCAATTGTCGATGTCACACTCATTGATACTCATAGACGATTGACGGGTCCGGGGGTTGGTTGCTTCTGAACTATCCTTAACTGGACAATCAGGGGGCTAATGGAAAGACTATCCCGGCGCAATATATGTCCCAGGTACTCGGCGGTTTTTCGAGGTGCCGGATCAAAGTCCAGAATTAAGCTCGAAAAAAACTCGTTTTATTTGTATGACTTATGTGGTGTCGAACAAGCAGGGAAGCACATCATTCATATGTGGTGATCGAGACAGGCCTCCTAAAACTGGAAAAAAGAGTGCGATGGCTTCGTTAATCGAGATACCGTTCAAGTTTTGATGACGCATTATTTACATATGAGGTGCGATGTATCTCGGTCATATTTAGGTTGGGATGATGGGATACTATGCCGTGATATAGCGCTGAAGGTGTTCTTGGATTGACTTGGTAGCAGACTTGTGCATCACCCTGTGAGGAATGCGCCAACGGGATGGAGAAACTTTGAAATGCTGATACGCTAATCGTACTTGCTGACTCCGGGTGCAGTAGAATTATTGAAGAAGGTCAGGATCCCACTGGGATGCGCATGGTCAATTCAGTGTGCGCGTAATATTTGCTGAGGGAGTCCGCTGTTCCGGCAAGTTGCATAAGATTGTCGGGCTAGGACCGTTCGGGGATTGAGAACAGGGATTGTATATGCTGGTCGTGAGCGAGAGATGGCGAATTATAGACGCGAAAAATGATTAGATTCTGGGGTGCGATGGCGGTGCTGGCGTCGTTTGCCACTAGCTTGGCCCAGGAGAAGAGAATTTCATTTAAATAGACATTTTCTAGGCACGAAAAGTGATGCGTTGGAGAGGAGGGGCGTTCGACGCGCTGCTAGTTCGACGCGTGTATGGAGAGTTTGGACGCGTTGTGGATCATAAGCTTCGCGGTGAAAAATGAATTTGTATTTGTGTTTGCCATGAGGGATGCGAAGGGGTGGGGGGGAAATGGATCGAGATGCATATTTGCGTTATCAGTCGGGTGCGTCAGGTGGTGACCTTGGTGATATCGGGGTCGGTTTTTTGTGTATTTTACGAGTATTTTTTTATTTGGCAGAAAGCCAAACGGGGATGGGAGAGAATTTGTAAGCGAGCGGGCGGTGATGTGCTGCTGCGATTGGAGGGGGTGACTGGGGGATGCACGTTATGTAATGAATTGTATTATTGCGTGGTATACTTCTTGAGTTGGATAGCCGGGAGAGGAGGACTCTGTTTTCTCTGTGCTGTGACTGAGCCCGTCCCTCTTTTCAGTTCTCGTTCTCTCTTCGCTAAGCCATCTCGGTTTGGCCCCGTCATTCCTTCTCTCCTCATCGTCCAGCCCTGACGTACAAAGGACGCCCATTCCTCATATCTTGCTCTCTTGCTCTCTCCTCTCTCCGCCGACAAAGGTCATCTCCCCTCCGAAGTACACTCGGACTTATTCGCGGAGAACACTCCAGCATCGCCATTCTATTGCGCTCTGTCATTCTCGCTTTCCGTGCAATACACTTCTCCTGCTAGCTCCAGTTCGGTCACCAAGCACCACCAAGACGGCCCTGCTGCCCTGTTCTCACAGTGCCAAAACGCGTTCCGTGTATTGCCGGTCGGTCCCCAGCGCGACGCGTACGGCCACCTCCAACATCGCGATTTGCGTTGTGTGCTATAGCTTCTATCTCTCTTGATATTATCAGCGTCGCTCAGCGAGCATCTGTTCTCGATGGACGTCGACCAGGCACAGCACTCCCATTCGCCTTTTCCGTCCCCAGACCAGCACTTCTCGCCTCAGCTGCACCAGCAGTCTCAACAGCAGCAACACAGCGGACAAGGCCAGTCGTCACCATCTCAGCAGCAAACGCAACAACCGTCACCAGATTCACCGTCCCAATCACTATCTCAGTTGGGACCAGGGGGTCAGGGTCAGGCCGCCCAGGGTCAAAACCAGTGGTCCGCCGCGCACAACCAGCATCCGCACCCGCATCTGCTCCCGATTTCAGTCCCAGTCGCGGGCGCCATATCCGCCGTCTCCGCCTCCCCTACCTCCTATTCTCCCGCCTCCGCCCATCCTACGGACGGGTATCCCTTTTACTCGCAGCAGCCGCAGTCTCAATCTCAGCCGCAGCCGCCCCAGGTTCCTGGTGCGGACGGAGGGCACCACGGACACGGCCAGACTCACGCCCAGCAGGGCATGGAACGCTCTGCATCTCTTTCCTTGAACATCTCGAGTTTGAGTGTCCAGAGTCCTGCGAACCTTTCACCGCTGACGCCCAGTCCTCACCCGAGTACAGCGAGTACTGTGCAGACGCTGAGCCCTGTTACCCCACTCAGTCCTTCCACTACCCCGCACGCACAGCACTATCAGACGCATACGTCTCATAGTAATAGACAGGACCATCAAGGCAACATGTTTGCGTATGCTCCTCCTAATGAGGGAACATATAATACAGTGGGCGCATATTCTACCAGTGCAGCCGTGCCCCTTCCTGCATATGCTCGCGCTCCAAGTTCGCGTTCCTCTTCCGCGGCATCTACGGCTGCCCTCTCGACCAAATCGTCCATCCCGCGGAAGCGCTCGTTTGCAAACGCATCTTCGCTACCTGTCACGACACTGGAAGTCGGTGAGCCCGGGACGGTACCTGGCTATAATCCTGCACTTGGCCAGAGCACGCATGAGCTTACGCCTGCAAACTTCGAGGACGTCGATGTTGATTTATATTCTGGCTCCGCAGGAATGGAAGGTCTTGAGGGACGAAGTGGAGGCAGTCCAGGTGATCCTGCGGACAGCTCCAGCGGTGACGGCGATGAGGACCCGTTCAAGTCGCTTTCGCTCGGCGTCGGATCCGGCGGCCACGCCAACTCGGGGCTTTCTGCCCTGTCGATCCCGTCGCACGGAGGCGGTTACGGCCCCGCGTCGGCGAAGACAACAGGGACGAATAACTTCGTCACGAAGCTTTATCAGTGCGTATCTTCGATCCAATTTAAGAAGTCATTAGTCTGTTTATTGACGGCTCCTTCTTCTCCGTGCTTCTTTCACTCTAATCTACCTCTCCTTGGCCTTGTGTGCTGGTCGGTATTTGTGACATGCCATGACGTCCTGCACTTCGCGATCGCTGTTTCCCACCATCAACCCTCCCAATATGGGTCCGTGAACCGCGTTCCTCTCCGCGTCCGTTCTGTGCCTTGCGACTCATCGGACTATGTCGCTGAATTTTGTCCATCCCGCGCCGTCTAATACCGGTCAAACGCACATGAAAACCGTTGTGTGAAACATGACCTACTGCGGGCTGAAATTTTTCGCGTTCGCGTGAATGGCCGCTGAACACGGATGTCCATGTGGACACTTGAATCTGTCGTGCACCGGTGGCTGTGACACGATTGCCATATTGCGACGCATATAGGATGATCAACGATCCGAAGTCTGCAATGTTCATCCAGTGGACCGAGCTCGGAACCAGGTGTGTATACTTGTCAAGATGCTTTTTTTTTTCTTTTCACTCGACGTTCCGCTTTCTGTGCCCTTGTTTTAAGAGACCTGAGAACTTATTTGTAATCTCTCGAATTTTTTCAGCTTCGTTGTGTCAAATGTCGGCGAGTTCAGTCGGACAATATTGGGAACTCATTTCAAGCACAATAACGTAAGTACGATTCCATTGGAAGAGAAAGAAATTTTAGCGTTTTGATGTTTGACCTTTTGTGTTTGACAGTTCTCAAGCTTCGTTCGGCAGTTGAATATGTACGGCTTCCACAAGATAAACCGGGTGAGCATTCCATTCCCCTGCACCTTATTTTTAGAATAAGGGTTTTTGTAATGTGATCGCTGATGTGCACAGGGCCGTCAGACCCCGCGCGGAACCCGTGCTACATCTGGCTCTGGGCAGGGTAATGGCCCAGGATCCGCGGAGCAGCAAGTCTGGGAGTTCTCACACCACAAGTTCCTGCGAGGGCGCCCGGACCTGCTTGATGAGATTAAGCGTAAGGCGCTCGACCCCGACCCGGCGGTGAAGCAACGTGTCGAACTTCCGGGCGAGTTGGCCGCGCAGCTCAACCAGATGCGGGACAACAACCGCCGAGTGGTGCGCGCGCTCGAATGGGAGAGAGCTAAGGTGAATAGACTCGTCGGCGTAGTGAGGGACTTGAATGAAGTTATTGGAAGAGCGTTTCCTGGTAGTGGTAAGTGACCCCCGTAACGACGGCTGGTACTTTGCAGGACGTTTCGTTGACGATCGATTTATTTAGTTGTGCCGTTTCCTCCGGAGTTGTGGGAGACTCCTGAGAACAACCCGCCCATATTCATTACGTCGCCCACTGCTGCTAGTCCGGGTCCCGGCTCTGCAAGAGGGTATGGCAGCGTAAATGGCGCAAGCACCAACGGAATGTCGCTTCCCAGCGCGTTCCAGGGCTTATCGCCATTCAGCCCCGGATCGAGTCCTACTGGAAGCGAATTTACGCACCAGGGACAGCAGCAACATGGCCACTACGGGCATGCAATGCACCACACGCATCATACGCATCCCCATCTTAACAGGGCGCACAGTATGCAGAATATGCAGTACGATACATCGTTCACTGCGCCGTCGCCTGTTAATGGCGGACCGCGTTATGATGACACAATGGAACTTGACGCGACCCAGGCCACTTCAGGGACAATGGGCGCAGGGGAAAGGAAGCGGCAACGCACAGGGCCAGTGCTTGTTAGCTCAATAGAAGGGAAGCGGCTGAGTCGCGCACGAAGTGACAGTGCGCCGCTTGGATACAGCCCGTGGGCGGCTAACTCGACCCTTCCTGGTAGTAGCGCTGCCGGACGTCCGAGGAGTGGCAGCGGTCTTTCACAAATAAATACTCGAATGACTCAGACGTCGAGTGGGATATCCACTGGAAGGAGAGATGACTTGATGGTGAACATCAGCGGCGTGGGGAACGGCAAAGGCGCGGGGCAGGGACAGCAAGGGCAAAGTCAAAGTGCGACCAGCCCGCTTGTTCCGAAGTCAGGCGGGTGACGATGCACTCGTCCATGCTTGACTACAGTCCACCCCCTATACTAACCGAGGCTGTATTTCTTCTCACTTCTATTGGACACTACATTCCTCTCTTCTCTTGTCCCTCCACTCCGTGCGGGATTCCTTAAGCGGGACGGCTTACCCTTTGTGCTATCATTCCAACTAACTTCCAAACCGGACGTTATTCCACTCCTTAGACATTCACTTATTCACTCCTTGGACACTCACTTTCCTTATCATTTGTCTTTCTTTGGTGTGCTGTCATCTTCACTCTTTTGCTGACTGACTCCTCGTCTCGATTTGATTTCACTTATTCGATCCTTTTGTGTGACTAGTTGATTTTGATTTGCTTCTTGATCTACTGACACCTTGGTTGACAGAAATTTCTCCATTAACCCACGCATTCACCGTCGTCACTTCTTTCCCGTCCGTCTTGATTTTTCAGACATACAACAACACCAAAAAATCATCCCAAAACTGTCGCAAATGCCACAACGCTTGTTGTGGAGCCTCTCCCGTCGTAGAGGCTGAGACGACGGACTACTTGAATAGACTTTTCACTGATCATGCTTATTTGTGATTTGGACATACATTTTTTATTGAAATATGTATCAAGAATCCTCCCCCTCTTGTGCGCCGCCTTCTCACTGCCTCTGCCGTACCCAGTGCCGCTGCCCTTCTTCGAGATCAGCTGATGGAGACAACTGTGTCGTGATGGATTGGGTGGTCGTCTTCTTTCGTAGAGACTCAGGCAATATCTAGTCCAGATGATGGATGCCCGGAGATTACTATCAACGGTGTTTAAAGTGTCGACCATCAATCATTGAAGATCGGTCAAGAAGCAAGATGCTCGGGAGCCGTGATCTACAGTACGACAAATGCTGTATCGTCGTCGCGGTACGGAGCAATCTTCGCGATCAGGCTTTGTGCATGCAAACGGCGTCCTAACGGCCTCGGTGTCATTGGCTTCTTCTCTACCTTACTGCTGCGCGAACAACGCTTCATCTCCACATCCCCTTATTCATCAAAAACCCGATTGGCTGAGGATGGTTCGTGGCGCAAAGTTCGTCTTACGTGTTTAGTACGAACGACCGACCGATCGCCTCTCCAGGTTCAATTCTATTCATCTCCATCTCTCCAACCTACCTGTCTATTTATCCGGGCATTCACTATCATCCTGAATTTGTTAGATCTGTAACACCACCCCCACCTCTACTCCACATTCATCACCCTTTGCCCTTCTCTTCCGTTACTTCACCGCTTCTCATCTTTGTCCTGTATCTCCTGTGCGTCTTCCAATGGGCGTATTTCGACTAACTGGGTGACGATGCCCTCGTTCGGTCGGCCACCTCACAATGTGACCCTCCTCACCGTTCCATTGGCCCGAAGGTACAACGGTGGTGACGATCGTGGCAGACCGAACATCTCGGATCCCATTCTGCGTAGTCTCGGACTAATTTCGATCGCCGTGTCGTCGTACCTGACACTTGGCTTCTCTCAGAAGATCAGGAACCAAAGTGTCGAGTTTGAGAACGGAGGAACCAGCTCAGAATGTAGACTACTACGTCCCAGGTCTTTTTTCAATGTACACTCGGGGTGATAAAACCATAACCTTACCCAGTAACAACACTTTTCTCATCATCATCATTACCATCATCATCCTCTTCATCATTTCTCACTTCACTTCAATGTTTCATTCGCCTACCTACCTCAATTGCTTACATCATTTCTTTCTTTCGAGTTAGTCAGTCTTCTCTTTCTTCTGTACGGATGCTTATACATTTGTTGATGTCGATACGTTCTCTGTTTCACTCTGTTCATTATTTCTTCCCATTTCATTTTCTCTGTTCTCTGGTGTGTACATTGCTTTGCAACTTGGTACTTGGCAAATTTAGTGTCAATCAATGTCAATCAACTACTTTGGCTTGTGTTTGGAAGGCCTACAGTTACACCATCGGAGAAACACAGACAAACAAGAGACAAATAGGGTACATAAAACGAAACACTACATTCGTCTATGATCCTCGGAAAGAAATATTACACGAACACAGAAGTTAGAAATTTTTGCTGATGTAGTACTGAGTCAGATGGGTCAGGCGTTACGAAATCGAGTTTCAGGTGAATTGGAAAAACGGACAGGTTGAGGACGGAGTATAGTACAGCGTAAGAACGGAATACATATAACAGATCAATTACTGAGACCTAGCTCCTGGGTTCCGGTGCCCGCCTGACATGTCCTTGAGTTGTTTTTGCTCATCGTCCGTTTGTCCCCGCGGCTGCTCCCGCTGCGTAATCCCGTTCACGTTCGTGTGACAGTGAATGGTCGTGGTCCCGCTCGGCGATTGGTATATCGTCCTTTGAGATTGAGTTATTGGTTATGCAATGAGTTTTGGGCGCCCGTTCCCGGGAGATTTAAGGCGACGGAGAAGATTAACAATATCGGGCAACAGTGATTGGTGTTTGGCGCGCAATGAAGAACGCATATGGATGAGAAACATAAAGTAAGACCGAAAAGCGCCCCGGCGTTCGGTAGTTTAATATTCGGAGGATCGAAAATAGCGGCGAAACATTTCAATGTGAGTGTTTAAGAGCAATAAAAAGGGTGTAATGAGAACTTACGTCCAGCATTTCTTCATCGGCGGGATGGTCGTCCCGTTCACGGAACTCGCGTGTACGCGTTCGACCATTTACTGTGGCTGCATGTGAGTATCCGTCACTAACTGCGGTTCCGTTTAGTGGTGCAGCATCTATAATTTGACCTTCGTGCTGGCCTGGGTGATCAGGTGGTGGCACGTAGCCGGAGGGACCGTAGTGATCTGGGTACATTTGTTCGGTGCCACCACTGCTCGAAGGATGAGGAGCCGGTATGGATACCGGTACGTCCTCCATTTGGTGGAGGATGTTGACGAGAGTAGGTTGTGAGGGTGCGACGATTTGCATTGCGTCTAACAGAAGGCTGGGAGTGCATGAGTTAGCTCATTATGGTGATTAGATTGAGATAGATGATCTGTACGAACTCGTTTTCTGCTTGAACCGCTTTCAGACGTGTGTTTGCAACTTCGAGCTCTCTGCGCAGTTCTTCGCGCTTCTGATAATATAATGACTATTTCATTAAGATTATCTTGTGCGATTAATGGGCGGCATACCGCTGTGACGGTATCATAGGTTTCTTTCAGAACAAAGAACCTAGTGCCACACTGAATTTCTACTAAGTAGAACGGAGATGATCTGTTAACTCACTTTGATTTATACGAGTTGCCTCTCGGTGCTGCGTTTGAGAGCTGCGGTGATGGTGGTCAGTACATGGCGCTGCCACAGGAGTCGTATGAGGAGAGTTTGGCCAACGAACTTTGAATTTTCCGAGGCCCTCCATATCATGGCGAGAGGAGCGAGATGGAGTAGACTGAGCTGATGCTGGTGGTGCCGTTACTGAGTCGGCCATCGTCGTTGTTGAGTGTGCGCCGCAAGTGCGCGATTGCCAGTGACGGGCTCAGTGGCAGTGGCACACCGCCGATCTTCGTCACGCGATTCACGGTCCCGTGTTCCCGACCCGAAAGAGAACTTAGAAGAGCCAGCGCGGCCTCGACGCGTCACTCTCGCCTTGCTCTCACTGGATTGCAGCGTTTATCATGGCGCTTTTCAATGGAATAGGTATGATAAATGACGTGTTCGTATCAGTGCTACACCTAATGCTCTACGAAACCTCGTGTTCTAGCGTCGTTCAGCCCTTCGGTGCCGTCCACAATAAAGGACTTGTGGGGTGAGCCAAATTCTCAACATTTCGTTATGCCCAAATCTTTACTAAATCCCGCAACATGTTTTGTTTCTGGTAATTTATCTCCCAGCTGCACATGGTGGCATCGTTGCTGAAACACGGAGAGAAGGGCAACTCTCACAGTGGACCTTCTGCAGCGGCATTTTCGACTCATACCTCGGAAAGTGCGTAAGCGATGGAACGGAAGCTGTGATACTTGCATGCATGCCTGTATGCGTTATGTTTCGCGCTCAGGCACAAATGCGAAACATACATATTCGGAACGTATATGTCACTGACACTTTTTTTGTCTTCACTTTTCATATGTAGATTTGCAGAACGGCCTATCGTGGTAGGTCTTATGAGCGGGCACTCGGAAATGCTCCCCAATGCGTGCCTTTGTCTCGTCTAATTATGCTTTGTGTGTCAAGTTGAAACCTTTCCTTGATTTTCAGGTCTTCCACACAGATTGGATTCTTGCCACAGCCACAGCCGGGTTTGCGCTACCGCTGGCGAAATATGTACTTGACGGTCAGTGAATGTTCTGTCCTTAGTGCTGGAATTTGTGCTGCTAAGCTCTCAGCAGCGACGCAGCTGCGCAGTATGAGTATCGTGTCTCAGCTGGAGACCCTACCTTCTTTTTTTGTCATAATTTTCCTTCACTAATATTTATCACGACCATTTTGCTTCACAGAGAAATTCAAATTATCGGCCGAACAGAGTGATCCGTTCCGAGAGTCCCTGGGGTCGCACTGTTACGGCAAGTCCCGTGATGGTTCGGAGATAAACGCTGAGATCGGCTGCCCTGCAAGAATCAAGGACCCTGTTGTAATCGACTCCTCCCTGTCCATGCGGCTCGCAATCACCACGGATGGAAATTGTTGCAAAAAGCGCCCACATGAATTGTCACCTGAGGCGTGCGAAGAGCTGCAAAACCGATTGGTCAAGAAGGCCAAGGTCCAATCTGTTCCTGCAAATAGACCTACCACTCGAGCCCGCTTCCGCTTTCCTGGAACTATAACGCCTGCGCGAACTTCTGCACCACTCAGCCCACGAGAGAATCGTACTAATATTTCCTCGGCAGCTTCTCCTCCATTCTCTAAGGCGCTCAACAGTTGCAAGACGCTCAATTTCGCTGGCAAACAATCTGATAACCATGAATTTGGTACTCCAGGATCGATAATCTCGACTGCTTGTAAAATGGATCATGATCGTCCAGAGGTGTGCGAAAAACTAGACTGCAATGGTCAAGGCCGAAATTGCACTATGGGGCGCGACGTGGAGAGTTTGAGTTCGAGCCCCGACGGATCGTCATCGCAATTATCTTCTGGTCTACCCTTCGGCCCCGAAACTGTCCCTGATCAAGAGTACGCCTCGTGTTTTTCAAAGCCTCTGGACTGGTCTTTCGATCAGCTTCATTAACTCAATGGATTCGTCGAAATTCTAGGGCATCTGCAGTGCAGAATATTTGGTTAACCCTCATCCAGGACTCCACCTATGCGAAGATATCGGACACCAACGAGCCCAACGCCATACCAACCATCCGAGTATCGGACGCGCTAAACGTTTTGAAGAGATTAAACGCAGATCTTCCAAGCGATGATTACGACGATGTCACGTTCTTCGCCAACGGACGCGAATATAGCGGAAGAAAGTTTGCGGTTGACAAAGATGATAGGAGGAAGACGATGTAAAGACAGTATGCGACTGCACTGACCCTTTTGTCTTCAATGGCTGCATTGTCTTTACGTCGAGATTACTCTTGCTGTTTGTCGCCCTTGATCGTGATGGCTACATCCTCATTTCTCTGTTCATTGATTGCGTTGTTGGTCTTGCCTTTGTCTAATCCTTGTCAGTGCCCATTGTCAATGACAGCAAGCCAGTTTATTACTGCATAATTGCCGGCTCCAAAAGCAATCGGAAGCCCGTTCAAAGCAACACCTCTCAATCTCTGTATCCTAAGAGTTTTTGAGCTCAGGTGAACTGGAATTACATGAGCCTCCGAACAGAAGAGGCATAGAAGATACGGATGTGCTTTACAAAGAACGCTAATCGATCGTGGAGCCTGCTACCTGATCACTGTTGCGGGAGTAGAAAAAATTCATCCGCACGAGTACGACTACTGTATTTCACCCAGAAACACTCACTTTAAGGGTATTTGCAGTCTATAATTACTAAAACTCATTATTATTTCACAAAAAAAATACTATTAGAAAGGTCTTCATATTAGCTACAAAACATATGTTTTAATTATTTGTAAAATTAAAAAATAAATATTTTATTGAATTTACGCATGAAGGACTCAAAACTGAGCGTTCAACGTGATTCACCAGGAAACACACACTCGTGGGAAACTAAACTTAGAGAAATTCGCGCGTGCATTCACTCAGTACACAGACTCGACTTCAATCCTATCCAGACCAATTTACTTTGGTCTGGGCAGAAATAAAGGTAAGTACAGTCTATTAGTCATATACACTCTATTAATTAATAGAATATATGGTCCTTTATACAGGAACAGGCTTGTTGTGATGACTTAGAGTCTCTTGCCTATGTTCTAATGTCTGCTTCTTACTCTCCTCTACCTCTTGTTTTCCTCCTCCTCTGCTTCCAGAATTCATTACACTTATTATAATTATTAAAGAATAATAAAGTAACTTACTTTTTAATAATCATTCCAACTTTTTCTTTAAAAAGTTTTTGAGTTAAAGGAATAGCTCTAGAAGAAAGAGATTTGGTCCAATCTTTTAAAATAGTTTCTTAGGATGAAGATAAAAGTTGAAGAGACAAATGAGAATTAAAACAATTAGAAATGCCTTTAAGTCTTCTATTGATGGAAAATCTTGAAACACCAAATTGCTTTATAGTAACTGATTTAGAAAGAATAAATCTAGCAGAATTTGTTAGCAACAGTATAGAGGGGACCCAAAGGCTCAGCAAGGGGACCCAGGCTACAACTATCCTACACAACAGAAATACAGAACATGAGCACTAGAATGTAGTCAGAACTTGTAGAACAGGCAGAGAGAGAGAGTGAGACAAGAGTAGAGTATATAGAGTAAGTCTAAGAGTACAGGACTATCTAGAGTAGACAAGATCAAGACTACAGGACCAGTCTGATCTCATACACCTATATATACTAAACTACACAAGAGCACTCAGGGAGTATGAGCCACTAAGAATGATAAGTCACAAAGAATGAAAGAAAGGAAGGTCAAAGATAAAGGTACAAAGAATGAAGGGATAGACAAAGAGTAAGAGACTATAGAATGAACAAAGAATGAAGGGGTGGTCAAAGGAATGGAATGATGAAGTAAGGAAGAGTAGTGGCAAGAGTCAGCACACATATAGTTCATAGATGGTGCCTCTGAGGGATGGAAATCCTGAGTTCTAGTACAGAAGGGTGTAGAACCCTTAGAACTAAAGATATAAGAGTAAAGAATTGTAACATTACTCTCCCTCTAAAACCAATTGTCCTGATTAGTGAACATTGGACTCAGTCAGCAGTTCAGGCATAGGTTGGAATGGTAGGGCTTGGAAATCTGTAAGGCTGAGTTTGTACAGAGTACTAGGATGAAGCTGATAGAAATCTCAGATTGTTTTAAGAGTATAAGTAAGGTTCTTAGTAGGTTCCCAAGTGTGCTCCTTAACTAGGTACCCTTTCTAGTGAACAAGGAATTTGAGTTTTCTGTGTAGCAGCTTAGTATTTACTATGTACTCTACTTTATATTCTGGTTCAGAGCTAATAAGTTCTGGTAGAGGTAGAGAGGGTCTTTATTGTAAAGGAAAACTAGGATTATAGTACTAAGACAACAAAACCTTATTAAACACTGAGTGTATGTGCTTCTATGTTACTAGAAGTTGGAGTTTGTAGGTAGAGACACTAACCTTCTTTTCAATGATGAAGGGTCTGAAGCACTTGTTGTCCAACTTCTTCATTAGATGATCTGAGGTTAGATTAGTAGCTTCTAGCATAACCTTGTTACTAGGCTGGTAATCCTTGACTGTAGACCTCTTCCAATTATAGTTCTACTTTATAACCTGTACTACCTTCTCTAAAAGAGCTTGTGTGTCCTCCCTGGTTCTGTGTATCTGTTCTACAAAGTCTGTTACAGATTCAGAACTACTGTTCTGGTTCAGAACTGTCCCCTAGTATGGATGTCTCTCATAATTAAGAAAGAACAGGGACTGTCCTGTTACAGAGTGTTACTAGTTATTGTGTACAAATTCTGTTAGAGCTAACCATTCAGACCAATCTGATTACTGATGATTAATGAACATTTAGAGGTAGAGCTTAATCTCCTGATTGACTCACTCAGTTTGACTATCAGTCTGTAGGTAATATATAGTAGAAGGGTTCCCTTAAATTCTGAGAAGTACATACAAGTCCTACATGAATTTTAACTCAAATTGTAGTCTGTAATCATGAATGAGCTTCTAAGAGAGTCTGTATAACTAGAAGACATGATCCTAATAGATACACACTATACTTTCAAAAGTGAGTTCTGTTCAGGTCAGAACTATGTAGGCTTGCTTAGAGAATCAGTTGACAATCACACAGATAGTATTGTAACCCTAAGACTCAGGTAGCTTACTAATCAGATCTACTGAGACTTCTTCCTAAGAGTAATTTAGGATCCAATGTAAATGTAAGAGAGTCTGAACCCTTGTCTAGTAGGCCTTAGTTTGTTAGTATGTATTACAACTAGTCACATACTTTAGGATTTCCCTCTACATTCCTAACTACTAGTAGTTCTGAGTAATGAGTTCCTGTGTTTTGTGTTGGCCTAAATGTTCTACAGTCAGATTGTTGTAATAAGCTCAGACAATGTCCTCCTACAGCTTCTGATCCTTTAGAATGTACAGTCAGCCTTCCTAGTAAACCTGTCTATCCTTATCCTCCTCCTAATCCCTAGCCTACTTCTCTAACTGCTTTACTACAACCTAGTCCTATGTGTGTTTCAGAGCTTACTGTATACAGGTGACAAAGTTAACATCCTTAGATTCAAGTTGGATCTCTCAGATTGTCTTGGACACAAAACAGGAATTGTCTAGGAGAACAAGATTTTTGTTATCATTCTCCCCTCTTTCATAACCTACTTGTCTTAAGAGTAAATCAGCTTTTGTCATTTGTGTTCTGGGTTTGTGAGTTAGTACAAAGTCATAGTTCTACAGTTCTAACATTCAGTAGACTTAGTAGTAGTTGAGCTTCTAAGGTGCCTGGAAGTATTAGAGATTAAGGTGATCACTCTAAATCTCAAACTTTTGTACAGTACTAAGGAGATATTAACACTACTCTTCTAGAGAACAGACAATTGTAAGGAGTTCCTTATTATAGATAGGGTAGTTCTGTTCTGTTGTAGAGAGGGATTCTAATCAGAATACTATTAGACACTACCTTCTGTCAATGAACTAGAACAGTACTGCTCCATTTGCAAAGTCAGAAGAGTTGGCTTTAACTCAGAACTTGTCTGTAACTGTTGGAACTACTAATACAGACTTACTAGTAATAGTCTGCTTAAGGGACTCAAACACAGACTACTACTAATCATCCTATTACTAAGGAACATCCTTACTAGTAAGATTGTGAAGGGGCTAGGCAATAGTACTAAAGCCTTAAATGAAGTATTAGTAGTAGTTTACAAACCTAAGGAACACTTAGACCTGTTTCAGGTTTCAAGGTTGTAGCTAGTTCTAAACTGTAGTTACTTTTGCTAGATCTATACAGACCTCTCCTCCACCAATTACAAAGCCTAGATAATCTACTGACTCCTACACAAAAGAGTACTTTACTTCTTAGAGAAACAGTTTATTATCTTAGAGCTGTTGTAGAACTACTCAGATTAGTCAGTAATAGTGCTTAACTGTCTAAGTGAAGATCAGAATATTGTCTAGATATACACTAACATGCTCTGAGTCAATCAGGTCCACAAGGATGTGATTCATGAATGACTAGAATGTTACAGGTGAGTTGGTTAGTCTGAAAAACATTACAGTTGGTTTGTACAATCTGTAATTAGTTTAGAATACAGCCTTCCACTCATCTCTGTCTCAGATCTGAATATTATTATATCCTTATCAAACATCCAACTTAGTAAAAACCCTGGATGTATGTGTCTTATTAATGAGCTCCTGAATCAGAGAGAGTAGGTACTTGTTTTTGACAGTACTCTTATTAAGACAATAATAATCCTAGACTAGGTAGAGCTTCCTATCTTTCTTTTTGACAAAGAAGAAAGGGGAGGCTATAAAGGACTTTAAGGGTTAGATCTGGCTGTTCTAAAGATTTTCCTGAAGGAACTTGTTAAGTGCCTCCTACTTGTCTCTGTTGAGTAGGTAGACCTTACAATCCTTAGGTTGGAAACCCTTGTTCAATTCAATTGTATGGTCCTAGGGACAGTGTTTAGAAAGCTAGTCAAATTCCTCTTTACTAAAGACTTTAGGGAACTCTTAGACAAAATCTGGCAGGCTGGGTCTACATACATTCTAGAGTAGAGTTGTTCTGAGAGGGTTTCAGACTGGTTCTGTCTTGAACATTCTTTAGATCAACTCTGTTCTACCTTGACTAGAATATGTATCCACATATCTATCCTAGTCAAAGAAGAACAACTAGTTACCTTTATTAGAACTGTTAGTAACATTGGAAGCATCTGTATTCACTCAGAACAGTAGTATAAGGTAGCTGTAAGACTCA